AAACGCGTAGATGATGTAAACAAAGAAAAAAAAACAAAAATACTTATCGTTCGGAAACCCGTGATCACCCTCTGTATGTTATTTATAAGTTAAATGAGAGATGTTTAGAGTTCTGATCAGCTTATTAACTTTTAATTTTAATTTTCATATTAATTCTAATAAATAGTTAATTATAAATTATTATTTATTATTAGAAAAACTCAATAATAAAATAATCTTATAAGATTATAATCTGAAAATTACTATCATTTAATAAATAATGTTATTGTATTTTATGATACTTGTTATTTATTTACATTTATGATTTATATGCATTTTATAAAATTTAATTTTAGAATTACACTAGTAAAATTTGCAATAAATTAATACATAATCTTAGTATTAAACTAAAATCTATTGCAGTATAACCTACAATGTATATTTTGTAATATTTAACAAAATAAAAAAAAACACTTTTTTCCTAATGTGATATTATTATAATTTTATTAAATTTTTAAAAGTAATATAAAATATATAAAATAAATTAAATATAAAAATAATGTAAAATATAACTATTTTTTATAATTCTTTTCAAATCTATTTTGATTAATTAATATTAAAATTTTTCTTAAAAAAAATTAAATAAATTTATATTTAATAATTAATTTATCAATAAAAAATTTAAATGTACAGTTGTTTCCTTTATAGTCACACTCTCAAAACTAAAAAAAAAGTGTAATTATAATAAAAAGTTACTATATAGGAGGATTTTATATATTGCTATAAAAATATTATGATTATAAAGGGATTTTTTTATATAGCATTAATAGGTAATAGTTCTTATGAAATATGTACTTATATAATATGATTGCATAGGAGATAACTATAGAGAGGGATAACTGTAATATCAAAATTTAATTAAGTGATCTATTTATGAAAAACCAAATTTCAAAACAAGAAGTATTTACAATTTTTATTTATTAGAAGAAAGAATTGTAATTCTGCAAAAGATATTTAAAAATGCTTTTAATTTTTTTTGAAATTTTTTATAATTAATTATTAATTAATAATAAAAGAATCAAATCTTATTATAAAATTGTATAATAATAAAATTAACTGTTAATATTAATAATTATTAAGTATTATTAAATAAAAAAGTTCATTTATTAAATAATAAGTATCTTTAAATAATATTCTTTAAATAAAAGGATAATAAAATCAAAAATTAAATTAAAAATTAAAAAGATTTAAAAATCTATATTGTATAAAAATATAAAAATTAATTCTTTTTTTGATTCTTTTCTAATTTATTAAAATTAAAATATCAAAAAATTTATATGCAGATTGGCAAAATTAAATATTTTTTTAACTCTTGTAAAATAAGTTTATAAATGATAATAATTTTTTTTCAATTATTATATAAATAAGAATATCTAATTAAAAGCTTTCCTATTATTTGTAATTCTTCTGTTAAAGATTTAATTTTAAAAGCTTTTTTATATATTATTCAAAATATATTAAAGATAAAAGAATCATTATTATTGAATTTATATATTATAAAAGATGTCAGTTGATATTTAAATTATCAGTTTTATCAGTAAGATAAATATTTTAACAGGTCTAAAAAGGCTAAAAACTGAAGAATTGTTTTCAAAATCTTCTGGATGATAAGAGATATTTTCATAAGTAAAATGTAATTGAAGGTAGTATAATTTATAGATAAAAACAAATTTATTTGAATAAGATAATATTATTTGCTAAATATTATTCATTCGGCGAATATTCAAATAGGTTTTAATAACTCAAATATTATTCGAATAGAAAATCGGTAAGCTCTAATTCCAACTTTTAAAGAAGCTTTGATTTTCCTAGCAACCTTCCCATATATTAAAATTTTTAACGCGTCATTATTTAACCAAATTTTATTTTTTTTTTTTTGATAGTCAGAAGAAATTTCGACATACTGATTACGTGGGGAGTGGAGAAATTCTCTATCGATTCAAATCGCTCATCACACCGTGCTTTAGATATATGGTTGGATATTTTAATCCAAAATTTAAAGCCAAAAACGAAGGAAAGCGGAAAGTATTAGCGGTAAAACGTAA